TGAACTGTTCATCAACCTTTGCATTCAACTTGCCCTCTTCATCCTCTTTGGCTCAGCCGCAAGTTTTCTTTTGACATTTCTTGCACTTTCTCTGTGTCAGGGAGAGCTGTGATTGCAGGGCTACCTTCGAGGAGTTGCGACTGAAAGGCCATCCACAAGCCGAAGTCCAGGTTTCGATGGGTATATCCCAACTGGCGCCTTCGACTTCGTGCCACACTCTCTCGCGTGAGTTGTAGGCTGTTGATGACACCCACAACCTCTTTGGTAGCTCTGTCACCACCAGCTCTTTGCCCGGGCACTGGCTGACCTCTTCCTTCGGCATGTCCCCGACCGCACCAGCCATCTTTTCAGTGTCCACTTCTTGCGTCTTTTCTTTCAACTTCACCACAGAGGACTTCCACCTCCCCAAGAAATAGCTATTTCCTGGGTCGGCATCCCCAGTCTGACGTAGTTCATGGCCCCTGATCTACGTGCGGAGTGTCCTTGTATCCCTTCGCCGGTCACCAATGTCCATCCTTCTACCATCTTGGCTTTGGAGAGCTTCTTGTTCTCAGAGTCCTGGAAGATGTAATCCTGAGGGCTTCTGTCTTTGCCTTTGTACGCCTTCCATATCTCTGTCCAAAGCTTCCAACAGCACCATCTCTGGCAGGTCCGGCGCATGCAACACGGCAAAGTTCTTCTCACACCTCAGCCCTGTTGGTCGCACTTCAAGAGGGGGATGAAGATGCTGACTCTCTTACAGGTCTCATTGGTCGACACGTCCCTCCATCTCATGCCGCTCACTTCGATCTCTCTCAGCGTCCACACTGCCCATTGGCATCCATGCGTATGACAGTGCTGGTCTTGCAGTCCGCCTAGGGCCATAGCAGCACAACATCCATTTCAGCGGGTCTATGTCCTTCAGCTCGAACTCCGGCGCTCTCTTCACAGGGCCTCTGTTCCTTCTTAAAGACCTCTTGCAATCCGTGATGAGCTTGTTCATCTGCAAGTTCACCTCGTACCCTGCTTCCACATGCATCAGCTTGAGCTCATTGAGATATTGATCTCCTGAGGTCCAACCATGGCTGCTGCAACCTCCTCAATGGTGCTTAAGGACAGCGGGAACACTCGTGCGGCTGCTCCCACACTCGCTTTTGCCATTGCCATGATCTGCTCCCTCTTGGACTTCTGTGCTGCCTTGGAAGTTTTGACCAAGAAGTCCCCTCTAAGGGCCTCTTTGGCCTGTTTCAGCTTTTCCTTGCCCTGCAGGATGTCCATGACCGCTTCAAAGGAGCGTTTCGGTCTCGTCCTCTGTGCCTGCTCCGTTTCCAGGGGTCCACTTGGCGTCCGATCACGTTCAACCTCCTCACTCCGAAAGACCTGCCTCCTCATTGGTGCATATCGTGAAGGCCTGCACCACGGGGTGAGCCCTTTGTACCATTGCCTCCAACAAGTGGCCCTGAGCAGCTCTGGCTTCTGGAGACTCTATCAAAGCTTTTGAGGACAGGCGCTTCTCTCCGGATTTCTCGTCGCCCAATGTTGGCCTTGACGACCTCCTAAAGGTGATGCATCCCTGCGTGCCTCGTCCCTTTCTGCCTTGACCTTTTCCCATGCTGCCTGCTCGCGATTGTCCTCTGCGTCTGACACCCTTACTGGCTTCCGCGGAGACGTCCTTCGGCTTGTGCAACACCAGTGGCCCAGCGTCCAGAGCCACCGCAGCGTTGACCAAAGGAAGAAAATCCTCCAGGGCCACTGCAAGCTGCGGAGCGTTCTCCATTGAGCCCAGGCTACCCGCGTTGGAGTCCAATGCATCCTCACGGTCCCGGTTCGACAGTCCGTCCAATCCCCAACTCCTCGGTGCAGGTTTTCCTCATCGTCTCAAGGTCCAAAAGGCGTCCTGCGAAGCGACCTGGTTTGAACCACCTGACACGTTCGTCACCTTGGTATGAACAGGTGTTGTAGTCAGCCACCTGACACTCGAATGCATCTAAAAATGCCTTGATCTCTGGGAGCTCCCACGCAGGTCCTTCTTCACGGGCGCTGCTCCCTGGGGGGTTTTCCAAGGTCCCAGCCTGCGGCACTCTCCTCTTCCTCTGGCTCTTCAGGATGGCCCCGATGACTTCGACCGATGTCGAAGCTAGCAACGTTCCCACGTCGGCGATCTGCTGCTCCTCCACCAAGTTGGACGGAAGACCATAGATGTGCTGCAAGGATCTGACGGGCGGTGGTCCTCTGAAGTCCATGTTCCATCGAGCTCGGCTGAAAGTATTACAAGGAAACCCGGCTCGGCTGAATGCCTGAGCCTCTGCCTCTTCTTTGAGCTCTAAAAATGGGTGGTCCTTCGTGAGGTCGACGTCACCTTCTCCCTTCTTATCCAGGCTGTAGATCTCCACCTGGATGCCCTCTTTCTTGGCCATTTCTTTGAGGCATTCTCCAAGCACATCCTTTTCGCCGCTAAACATGCGCAGGAATCGGAAAACTCGAAGTTCCTGGTACTCTGGGAAGTCCCGGGCCTGTGATAGCGGTTCGGCTATTCTTTCAGGAAGTTCGTCTTCCTCCGTGGGCGCCGGTCCCGACGACGCGCTCGCCATGATCGTGCCCGCCGCCCACAACCTTCCACCCGAGCTGCAGCCAAGCCACCATGCACATACACCGGCATAACGCGAACGCTCCCTCGCACCGCTTCGACGCACGACGCGATCACGAACCTCCCAACCTCGGACCTCAACCGTCGAAGAACGTCGAATCTCCCCTTCCCTCAACACACCACCCCAACCATCCTCCCCCAAACCAAACCGGGGATGGACACACGTTCCTGCCCCCCCTCCCCTCTCGCCCCATCGCAAGAAGGCGCAGCACCTTTCTTCCCCGAGGGAGATGCTGCTTTACGGGGACACTCCGCGTTTGGGTGTGTTGGGGAGAAACATATCATACATTTGTGAACCCTACGAACCTGCCCTTGCACTCAGTTCCTGAGGGAAGTCCTGCACAAGGTCCGACACCTTTTGCCCAGCTATAGCAGATCTCCTGCCCAGCCTGGTCTTTGCCTTTGCCCTTGCTCTTGCCTTTGCTTGACTCACCCTTCGCACGCTGTTCACGAAAGGAAGCCAACTCTTCTCTCTCCGATGCCCATCGCTTGCGCTTGGCCATCCTCTTGTCCCTGTTGGCTTGCTTCCTCCTATCTGACCTATCCTCATCATCCACTCGTTCTGCAGGAGGTCCCGGAAGGTGTGCCATGGCTATGGCCTCGGCTGGGGGTTTTGGTGAACCATGAGCCCCACTCACCACCAACCATGCTACGGCTGGGCGTCGAACTTGTTCATTCCAGAACCTCTCATCCAAAGCCAGAGCCCTAGAGCACGCTGTCCATGGTTCCTCCTCTGTAAACTCACGAGGCGGAGTATTTCCAGCGCCAAGCCCTGGACCGCCTGATCTTTTCCAGCTTCTCAGCTCTCGCTTTATCGTCCGCCTGAACTATCAAGCCCCATGCCTTTGGCCATTGCAGCACCAGCTTCTCAATGACCTTTTCATACAGGAGGAGGGCCGCCAATGTGACCAAATTGAGGGAGATGCAACCATTGTTGCAAGTTCTGGGGTCCAGGCAACTCCCTCACAACGAAGGAGCCATCTCCAACCGGCATGAATGCCCTGAACTTCTGGTTCTTCAACACCCGCCGCCCAAAGGGAAGCCATATTGAGAAATCCACGTACGGTGGCTGTTTCTGTACACGTACACGGTGATGTAGTGCTGCCATTTGAGCATCTGTCGGCTCTTCTTCTTCTTGAAGAGGTGCACCCATCACCGCAATGTACCTCTCAGCCCACTCGTTCAACATCACTGCATCCGGGAGTTTGGTCTCAGAGTCATCGGTCTGGTCCACAAGCTTCGACATCTTTAAGACATTCTCCTTGTTCCCAGTCGAGCCACTTGCACTTGACAAACCACCACCTGCTGCCATTGCTGCGCCTGTACCTTCAGGAGGTCCTGCAGGAGGGTCAGGAGTCCACGGGTCCTTGTCCACAAAGTTGTCAGGGTTTCCACCTCCATGCAGGTGCACTATCCACCTGGAGTTGCGCCACCCTAGCCCCACCTGAGCCGCCTGGATGGGTGTCAGTCGCTCCCCTGTAGTCAACGTAGTGGAGCTAACGATCTGGGGAATGGTCCAAGCCGGCATGGCTGCCACTAGCCGCAAGTCGTTGCCGGGATCACCGGCGGTTGCAACGAAGCCATCCCACAAGTTGTCGGGTACCCTCAACTGCGTCAGGAGGTCCGGCACGGAGTGGACCCTCCCTAGAAAGGAGGACCATGAACTAAAAGGCGGCTCGCGCACAACAAAAACATGGAAACTCAGGCTCGTGCTTTCGAGCCTCAACTTCAGAGGTACATTGAGTGGGCAGCCCACCCTCCCTCCAAACAAATGCAGGGTCACCCTTGTGTCTCTCAGTGCCTATGGCACTTCTAAAACAATCACAAACGAGAGTGAGAGTGTGCATTCGAGTGAGCTTCCTACCCCTCTCCATGTGCAACCTTCAGCTATTTGGTTGGTAGTTGAGTGTCTGAGCTATATATACCGATGTGGTTTCATCACCAGCTTGCCCATCTTCCATCTCCACCACAACCCCCGCCGTACAGCATGAACAAAGGGGGTGTGGTCTGAGCCACAACTAGGTAGTCAACCCACACTCCCTCCAAGATCTTTCTGGTCTCTTGTCATGCAGTGCATTGTGCACTTTCACAACAAGAATTTCGATTGTTGGAGAATCACTCGACTCATCATCTCTGAACAACAGCAATCAAGGCCAACAGTCTCATGGCTCCACATGTGCAAGAAATCTGCTCAGATGGTGGAATGAGACCTACTTTCCGAAGGGTCGCGAAGACTCCTCAATAAAGAGAAGACTCGTGTTTTTTGAGTTAAATTGTAGTGTGTGCTTTTGCCGCTGTTTCCGGCATCTTCTGAGAGAACCACTTGCGTTTCTATCAAGTACAAGACAATGACCACAGTAAAGGGAAGCAAGAAACCGTGGATGCGAACGTCAGTCCTCGGATGTGGGATGTCCGTGTTTTTTGTGCTACGATGGGTCTCCAGTCTCCACTATGTGGGTGTGGAATACCAATACTGCAACACATGTCATGTTGATGGATTTGAACTCCAGGACCGCGCCCAAACACGGCCTGGGTAGCACAGACTTGTGGCAAGGGCTCACTGCTGGAGCCTCTGACCAGGTCGGACGTTGGAACAGGTGCTATCTGAAAAGAACCCCCAATAGCAAACCCCCAATAGCAATTTCAATGTTTAACCCTCCAAAACGGCCATCACGGCGCTACTCTCAAAATCGCAAGGCCATCACGGCGAAAGGAAAGCGTGACCAGCGGTTTCTTGCAAAACGAAAACGTCCCGGCTCCCGATTCATTTCCACAACAGTTCCGGTCACCCGTTCCAAGCTCGGCTGGGACCTGCTGGAACTGCACCACTCGGCTTGGATGGAGCGCTCCGCAGCTCCTTGACGCGGTATGCATACCTGGAGTGGTTCAGGCCATCAGTGATAAATAGTCAAATGCTGTCAGACTTGCTGTCAGTATGCTGAGTTTCAAGACCACAAGCCAACTATTTGGAAGATCCCATCGATAGACGGTTTCGTCTGGCCAAAGACATGTATCCATGGAGAGTCAACCATATCTGACCATCTTCGGAAGGAATCGGTTGCGTCGGCCTCAGCGTGTTCAGGGAGTGTTCCACGGCACCGCTGCAGGGCGACACATTGGCGATCATGACCTTGCAAGGGTGACACAAATCAATCGAAATCAATTGAAATTAATTGAAATTTCTTTCACTTTTTTTCTATTCTATTTGCTACTACTCAAGAATAAACATGCCTGTAAAAAAACAAAAAAAAGCAGCAACAGCAGCAGCAACAAATGAAGATGGTACTATTAATCCTGGATTGGATTCAATATTCAAATCTGAAGCTGATTTAAATAAGGCTATACATATATATATATATATATAAATAAGTCTGCCACGTTACCAAAAATGGCCTGTTGTCAGGCTGCGTCTCAAGAATGCGGGGCTCTTCACTCAAAGTCACAACGTCTGTGCAACACGTCTGTGCTGCGAAGCAGCCGTCCGGCAATTGGCACCAATGAAGGAGTCTTTCAGCACCTGGCGCGATTGTCCAGCTCGTAAACACCAAACTTGGCACTGAAGCCACAAACCCTCTACAGCAGCCCAACAGCTCGCTAGGTGCTTGTCTGCCTGCTTGACGGTTCCAGGCCAAACGGAACACTTGAGGGCTCGGGTTCTGGTTTCGGTGGGCCAAATGCCCATGGGTTCCATCAGTCCTGGCAGGTTGACACCTCACTTTTTCAGCGCCTCCTTTTTGACGCAAGCAACATCTTGAGGAAGTTCAGAAAGCGGTCTGCTTCGATGTCAGGAAGCGGAAGGAGGCAGGCCGATGTTCAATTGGACGTCGACAGACCGGCACCGAGCCGACCACGGAGCGGCCCTAGGGCCGGTCGCTCAGCGGCTTCGTGACATCGAACGTCACCGGCGTGAGCCGCGACACTCCTCGAGGGGCCAGGAAGCGGATAGGATGAAAACCTGAAAACCCTCGAGGGGCCACCTAGCCATCTTCCTGGTCATCCTGGTCTTTTATGAACCACCGCTCCAGCTGCCTGTGGAAATAGCATGTTCCAAAACCTTTCTCAGCCACAATCATGGCCAACATTGCACTATTGGGCACTGGGAGTGTCACTGTCCAAACCTTCCCGTCCCCCAACAACCGCCGGGCTCACCTGAGTGAGCTTGGACCCGCGAAAGGGCGTATGATCCAGCTGCTGGTCCAGCGCTCGGATGCATTCCTGGAGGGACGAACCGACCCCAAATGCAAGATCTTCACATATCAAAATCAGATGAAAATTGCATGCAACAAAAATGATTTATATAGTTGCAACAACATTGTGGTACCTGCACCAATCCCTGCTGACTCATTACTTCAGTATGATCCGTCTTTGAAGAAATATGCCCTCGAACACTGGTGTTGGGCGCGGCTTCTGATGCTCCCAAACAAATGCTCAAGCAAGCACGTTGAATCTTTGCGCCAAGCCACGCTTTGTTACTTGCAAAGGAATTGCAAGAGATAAATATCCGTGATATGCTGCCAGCAAATGTCTTGGAGATGTCACAAACAACAGGTTAAAACAGAAGTTCCGGCTTGTTGTCTTTCTAGGCGGAGAAAATAACACCTTAGTACATACCACCAGGAAAGAAGAGGAGGAACGGGTTGATGGCCCTGATGGCCCACAGTCTGAGTGTGCGATTTGTAGAGACTACCTTAGATTCAGATGTTGATGTCCCTTGCAAACAAGTTTGCCATGGCATGTCCTTTATCGACTATATATACTACATGCTATCCATGTAACTGAGCTTGTAGTGTGCTCTGTCATAAGGTAGACTATACAGAGGAAGTGTTAGGGTGCTTTGGTGCAAGACCCCCTGATTCCCAGCATTCGGAGTATTAGCTACAAACTCCAGGCAAATCAATTGAAATCTCCAGGCAAACTCCACGTCTGGAGCCAAGCATTCCTTCAATGCAAGCAAGGACTTGTTGATCTCCGCGCCATCCATGCGAGTCTGTCGCAAGCAAGGAGTGAAATGAATCAACGTGTGTCCCATCTTACATGTGAATTTGTCGTCTTGGTTTGTCTCATCCAACTTTTGGGAATTGTGAACATGCAGACTAACGCCTTTCGACAACATTTGGAATTGATGAAAACCTCATCCCACAACTGGGAACTACTGTAGATACTGGCAAGTCCACTAGTGCTTAAGGGGCTCCGATTGCTAAGGCTGTGGAACAAGAAGCCGGCATCTTAAAGAAGGCATTCATTTCAAGAGTTCCCTTCCCCAACCAATCTCCCGCCTGGCGGTGGGTGTCCAAGGTGTCAGCACCTCGTTCACTGCCTGCGAGGTCGATGAAGCTGATCTTCCCATGCTCCTCGCAAGACAGGAACACACTTCTTGCCCTATGCAACGCAGAACTGGATTCTCGATAGGTTCATGAACGGTCAGCTTTCAATCTGGTCGAGCACAGAAACATCAAAATGACGTGTGTTCCAGAAAATTGGAAAGTGAATAGAACGCGCTACCTGAAGTCAAATGTCCAGCTGTACACAATGTTAAAACATGTTTAGACTATGCCGTTGATACATTGAAAGAATCCTACGGAGGGCACTTGTCTCGTGAAACCACGACAAAAGCACGATCCTGACCCAAAGCCAATGTCTCTCTTGGTCAGGACTGGTTGCCACTATGCAGAACTTAAGTTTCCCTAAAAATCTGGGAACCAAATGAATAGTGCGAGCGCTTCTTCAAGGAAGCTCCCTGCCGCCCCTTTAGGGCGGCGGGGGGAGCTTCCTTGAAGGAGCGCGAGCTATCCTGCGTCCTGCCGCTAGTAGCATCCTACTTAATTGCTACTAGCTACCTCTAGCTACTACCTCCCTCTTCTCGGCCTATCCCCCCGGCTTTAAAAAGAATTAAACATACATTTTAAAAAAAGCATCCGAAAGGCTCACGACTCGACATCGACTCCAACCTCCTTCGACTCCAGATCTTTCAAGCTGATCTGCAAAATCGCGTGAGACCGGGACCTCGCGACGACCGGATAAGACGACCGGAGACGACCGGGTGGGCCGGAAGTGGGCTTCCGGAGAGGTCTTCCTGGGTGGTCATATGAGTGTTACACTTCCCCTTTTGCCCCTCTGGTCATATGAATACCCAGGGCGATCATTGAGCATCCGATGCCAGCTGCTCCATCTCAAAAAGCCGTCCAGAAAGCGCCGGCTAGTGCTTCGAAGTGAACGAACATGTGTCCGGAGCCCAGGGTCCACCCAGCAAAACACACACGAAAGTTACTAGTAACAAGGGCATCGATACTAGGAGCAAGGACGCTACTAGTAGCTCCTGGCATTACTACTAGTAGCAAGAAGCTACTAGTAATGTTTCAACGATTCGATCGAAAAGTCACCAGAGTGTCGATGTGCCGATGCGTTCGGAAAGAGACAAACTTGTGTTCACTGGGTGTCTCGCGAATCCACGTTGGCACCCGTCACACCAGTGGTGCGGCTATTGAGGCCACACTCGATGACCTGCCCAGGCTGGAGAGCTTCAATTTTTGACCATGGCCCATGTAAGGCCATAGGTGAAAGATGGTGAAAGTGCTTCGGTGAAAGTGCTTGGAAAACGAAGTCGAACAATCAACCAGTTTCTTCCAAGAAGAGGCTAGATTTCTGCCCGGCCGAGCCCCATCTTTAGTGGACAGCTCAGCAAGTTCCAGTCTCAAAAGAACGTGCCTTTCAGCAAAGACCGTTGAAATGAAAGCAAAGGAGAGTATGGCTGCTGTGTGGAGGTTTCTTTCTGTTGCCTTGGCTCCTATCATCATATTCACTCAATGACTCAAACCCTTAAAATTCAGAAACCTGCAACTTCACACCGTTTCAGGGCTCCGGTGCAGCGGTTTCTCCGCTTCGTTGCCGCCTGGCCTCCATGAGATCCTGGACATTTCCCACCGGATGCTCCTGGTCTCAGGACACACGGCGAGCCGCACAACGGCTCAGCGGAGCCGCAAAACGACTCTTGCAAGGGTGGCCAGGAACGCGCCGGCCAGGGCGAGCCAAAACAAGGGCCAAAATGTGGTGGTACCAGTTGGCCCAAAATAAACACTCGCACATTGTTTGAACATACCGCCGCGCGCTAGAAGGCCCATACTATCGGTCAAAGCAATAGAGGGGAGGGGAGGGGAGGGGAGGGGAGGGGAGTAGGAGAGGGAGAGCTATCCGTTCTCCCAGCAACAGCAAACATCGGGTCCTCGACCAATAGCGTTATGTCATACCCACTGTCAGAAACGATTTTGCAGCAAGCATCAGGCAACAATCAATCCTGAACGTCCAATGGCCATGTTTGGGACTGGTTCATCGTGGCTTCTTGGGAAGAGCTATTCTTGGCAAATCTTTCAAGGATGGGCAAAAGGCCGTTAAAAGCATATCCTGCAAGCCAGCGATGACCACATTTCCCTTGGCATTCTCCCGGGCATGGAGCACTTGCCTCCGCACTCACAACGTACAACATGTCTTGACAAACCCACAGTATCAAGAGTTGAGTCTCAATTTTGCCTGGTAAAGTAGACCAGGAAGTGTCATCAGGCAACACATGACACCCTTCTGGGCCACTGTCCTGTTGTTCAGCAAATCAAAGAGCTTCCCGCAATAGATCTCGTAGAAGGCGATGAAGACCCCCAAGTGTGCATACTCCTGGCGGCAGAAATGCTTTCAAGCCGTTTCAATGTTAAGAACAACCCACTGAGCGGAACCAGTGCAGAGGAGATGGAAGCTGAATTCTTGCACAAACCCATTGTTTTTGCACAGGACGTACCATGTACCGTGTCTTCTTGTCATCCACAGAGCTAAGCCAAAGCCATCTGACATGGATGTCGAACTCAATTCACTCAAAGAAGCTGTGGACTCTCTAGCTGGCCTTGCTCTCTAGGCCTCGAAAAAGGTCCTGCGCCCGGTTTACAGAGGGACGGACATGTCCACGTCATCACTCAGTTCTTTCCAAGGGAACATGGAAAAAAATTCGTCATCTCAGCGGTCCCAGCATTCCTTTGCAGTGAGACTGCAGCTAGTGTTCAAAGAAAAAAGGGATCGTCTATCAGTCTATCTCTTTGCTAAGATGGACCAGGAAGCGTGACCTGCGAGGCGAGAAGGAAGATACCAGGAGGTCTTTCCTCTGGCAGAAGGTTCTCTACCTGGCTGGGAGAGATCAGTCTCAGTCTGTCGCTCCAAACAGTCTCAGTCCATCAGTCTTGCTGTGTTGGAACGGTACCATGGATGATGCAAGACTTAGCAAATGGCCCCCAAAGGTTTGCCAGGAAAGCAGACTCTGACACGTGGCTCAGAGCAAACGAGTGGATTTCCTTTCAACGACCTGGAAGATTCATACCTTCCAAAGAAATGGTGTCGCGAGATGCCTGTTTGTTGAAAAGGTCTGGTAAAGAAATAGAAACTTATGAGCATTTATTTAGAACAGTGCAGGTTTCCAAGATTGCTGAAACTGATTGCATACAAACTACGGTAAGTCCGCTACCACCTGGAATGTGGCTTCCTTTTCGCTCAAGGGTGAAATGTATCTCCTTTACAAATTGTTCGAAGACTTCGAAAGAGTTGCACCCAACATCTCCAGTCTGCGACGAATCCGTAAAGAATCTGCAACAAAGAAGCGTTTAAACCGTTCAACGCTCGCAGAGATGAACTCCAAACGCAGAAACAGACGCCCGACAAAAAACATGACAAAAACATGGTCTGCTGCACCAATCGCTTTGGTGGCCCCATCATCGTAAAGGTCTTGCCGCTACCTGTCTGTCCATACCTTATGCGCATCAGCAACATCGGCAATTCCGCCTTCTTGGAACCAATGCTGTGAGTGAGAAAGGATATGCTTTACTCCTCTTACAGTAGAACCTCTTGCTGAACCTCTGAAAAGAGTCTGAAAGGATGTGTTGCACTTCCACTCATGTTCATCTGCGCGAAATCGCGATGAAAAAACACTGGACCTTCCTTCTCTGTGCACAACGGCAGCTGGCCCTGTATCACCTCACTTCATTTCACTTCCAAACTGGGCCCCCAGGCGCGAAGCAGGTGCACTTCGCCTTTTGAAAGACCTCGGTCCCGGGCACCGACCGCCGCACGCAGACCGTCTTCACCATCCTGTTTTGGATCAACCGCGTGATAGAGGATGTCTTCCAAAGGTCTCTTCAATCTAGTGAGGCAAAAATACAGTGGGGTAGCGGACGCTACTAGGAACAAAGGGCATCGCTACTAGGAGCAAGGACGCTACTAGGGGCTCCTGGCATTGCTACTAGGAGCATTCTTACTACTAGTAACAAGAAGCTACTAGGGGCACCTGGCCAAACCTGTTACCATTGTCTTTCCAACCCAGAGCACCTCTAACATTCTGAAAGCTGAAGGCCTAGAGCTTTAGGGCGGTGACATTCAATTGGCTTGGCACCCCACAGCGTCAATCACAGGTTGCACACAGGACCTGTAGAGCGACTCGTTGGTCGCCTCAGAGAGACCAGAGACTAAAACGGCTGACGATTAGACTGTTCACAGTAGTCAGTACCTTTAAAGGTTACTTGGGGCACCGGCACTGTGAATACAGAATACTGATAACGCTCTTGTGTTGGCAACAGGTTGCCTTGGCTCCCTGAAAAATCAACTACAGAGTTCCGGGGCCCTACCAAAACAAAGCCCTGTCCACCACATGAGCATGGTGGACTCACCGAAATGTAATTCCTCATTGGAAACCACCAGGAAGTTGCTCAAACCAACCTTGCCCAAGAGTTCTTGCTCTCAGCAAATCAGATCCGAGAAGCCAGGATCAAAACCGTGAAGCTTGATAGCAGACCAGAACCCCACACACCAGACCCTCAACATATCCAAATCTAAACTATATTAGTGACTGGTGATGTGCCAACCTGATCTTGTGATGTGCCACCCTTGGGCGCCCAGTAAAGTGGGGTTGCAAGCTTGTCTACAAAGAAACTCAGAAAGCTTCAGGACCTGGCCACAAAAAAAGTTCTTTGATTCTCATGGAACATACTCCCTCAAGCCCCGTGGCCACAAAGTTCTTTGCTCGCAGCAACGGGTGTACTGATAGGAGACTTGTCTCGAAAACGGTGGTTCTTCTGATGCTTCTGGCTGAGAGGGAGACGTTCTCATCAAAAGCCTTGTCGAAAAGAAAATTGTGCTCCTGCACAGTATGAAGAAGGATGAGTTTGCTCCTACCAAGGTTTTGCAATCTTGGAAGTTTGAAGCCCACAGGCCACAGCCATGGCGAAAGCGGTCCTTTCTTCTGCTTATTGAAATGACAACGCACTTCCACAAAGCTAGCCACAGTCACACACAGCAAGAATGAACGGTTTTCCCACACCTCGACGTAGCGCGTAAGGTCAACTTTGAGTTTGGGCTCCCTCACCACGACCGCGCTTTCCCTGACCACATCCAGCCGGCAGCCAGCTGCCACAGCCAACAAAGTCGGTTCAAGTCGCCATGGAAAGTTTCAATTCCATCATACTCCTTCAACCTTCAGACAATTCCCTCGGCTTAGCCCAGCCTGCAAAAGACCACGTCCTGTTGCGCAGTCTGCACCTTCCACAAGTCATAGGTTCAGTTTCATATGTTCGAGGAACAACGGCCTCAAACTTGTGATGCCCCAAAGGGCATTCTACCTTGACAGATGGACATCTTCCCCGATCAGTGTTCACCACCCGGCCACGTCTTCCCGCCACATATCTAATGCCACGTCTTCCCGCCTCGCGCTTGTTCATGGGCCGCTTCCGCACCACCACACTGAGCCTCGAGCTGCGACCCGAGCTGCGCGCTTCCGGCGCCTCAGGAGGGCGTCCACACCAGGTGCTTACTTCCGGCGCCCAGACAGAGGCCCCCGACCCAATAGCGAGGCTATCAGAAAAGCCGTGAACGTTTCACTACAACAAAGGGGAAGAGGGTCATCCCGTCACTGAGCCCTGGACGGCCACGTTCCCCGTGCTCGTGCGGAGATTGGCTGGGCGGTTTCCACTCGCAGCAAGACTGGCATGGCCGCTGGAGCAACCGCCAAACAACTCTAAGGTGCGACACCATTCCCATCAACGCGGTCATGCCACTTGGAGCATTCAGGCAGTACTCCGGCTGAGCCTAGCACCTAAAATGATCTCAAACTCTCAAACATTGGAATGCTGCCTTCAGAAAGGATTTGGTACAATCACCAGGTTGGACCATCTCAAATGCTGTAGGTCTGTCTGAGACAACACTTAAATTGATGTTCAACCTCTTCTTGCATATTCTGCAACAATGCATGTTCAGCTCAAATCCAAGAGTTTTGTCAAGATCCTGAGTCAAGCAAAACCTAAAAGCTCTAAAAACAATGCGATGCTCTCCATCCCACGGCCCGGGGCACCCCACGTCCCACTACCTCCCAAAGAGGATCGGTTCTGCGCTGCGCTCTGAAAGCCATAGGCCGTATTCTGTGAAGGTCCCTCAGCACGCTCTGGTGAGGGAAAGGGCCCAGGTCGATGAAACAAGGATAGAAACCCCGGATGGAAAACAGGCTTTGCCTGGTGTCACATGCGTTCGCCAAAAGAACTGCGACCACCGAGACAGACTACGACCAGCTAGCATGAAATAGCGCGCGGTCTTCGATCTTTGTAGAGCCACTTTTGCTTGAGTTGATTGTTTGTTATCTTGAGGGTTACTCAGCCTGAGACCTCTTGAAATCCAGTCTCATCACATCTATATACCATGTTCAAGCTAATGATTGTTTAATGATTTGAGTGCGAAGAACAATGTTCTTCACAGCTGTGCGGGCTGAAGAACTGCCAAGCTTTCGCATGTCTCAATGGTTGTAAAAATTCTGAGGACCGAAGAGTGGCAAGTCAAGATCTCGCCTGCGCTTTGCCACCGGAGATCACCTGGTCAGCAACAAATACAAGGAGGAGCAAGGACGCTACTAGGGGCTCCTGGCCTTGCTACTGGAATCACCAGGCTCTCTTCCTTTCCCTGCTTGGCTTCTGCATAGCTGAGCACCAAGTGAACCCAACAAGATTCTTAAGCATGCAAAACACCGGCATGTTTCTTAGAAACTTATGATTGGAAGCAGGGACATGGGTTCAAACATGTTCAATCTGGTTTTCGTTCAAAAACTTCCGATGCAAATATCTCACCGCAAATGACCCAGAATTCAAAACGAGAACACCATTTCTCATGATCCCACTGCTTGCCAACTCCTCCTTTTTCTTTGGGCCGGACACCACCAGGTGCCCCCGCGGTGGCGCCCGGCGATCGAGCCCGGGCGCGCGAGAAGGGTCGAACTCCAGCGCCGTCACGTGCACCTGCGCCGTCACGACGAGAAAGCCCGCTGTCAGCGTCGCCTAACTTGGTTTGGCCTAAACTTGGCTTTGCAACTGACAGGCGCAGCGTTACGTGCATGGTGGTAGTTTAAAATAGTTTATGGTTTCTTGGAAGCAGGTGGGTGTCACCTCTGGGACATGGTTTTCTCATGGGCTCTCACATCTCATGGACCTATTCTTTTTGGTGAGAATTGGCACAAAGCCACGGGTGTTGGTGAAACTCGTGTTGTGTTTCATGTCAGCTAATCCCCGCAAATCGTTCGCGAAGCAGTTCGCTGACCGCAAATCGCCCAGCCTGAAATGCCGACCACCGGCTGCCCAGTCTGCCGCATAGTGCCCGACACCTCGCACGTTCTCGGTGGCGGCGTGGTGTTGCAAAGTGTTGCGAGTGGGGAAGAGTGGAGCACTGAGAGTGTTGACTGCAATGTGTCGGTGGCATGGAAACTTCAGATTGGAGACAGGAACCGGAGCCTGGAAGGTGGATTCATCTGGATTCGTGCCTTTGATGAAAAGCCGTGAGAACAGCTCTGCTGGCCTGGCTGGTCTCCAAGCCTCTGGAGCCTAGTCCGTGCGTGCAGCGAGTCTCGCAAGTCTACTCAGTCACCACTCACAACATCGTAGCCACCTCTAACCACCTGGCATACCTGGTAGAGGAAGTCCTCAACTTCCAAAACCACTTGTGGAGAGGTTCATCTGTGTTGGATAGGGAGCATAAAGTCTCAAGAAAGGGCCGGTGGGACCATCGAACTAGAGTTCCTAGCAGCAAATCGGCTTCTCGATTTGTTGCACCTACCAATGATTTGAAGTGTCATTGACAAATAAAAAAGAACTGTCATTGTTGAAAGAACTTATCCTTTTTGCTGTAATTGCTGTAATTATCTTTGTGAAAAAGAATCTCTCCAGAGCTCTTTTTGTTCCTTTCGATCGTCTAAGCCCCCAAACCGCCATGGATCCCGCGGGTCCCCACACCCGGATCCGCATTAGACGCTGAAGCCAAGCGCGGAATCGCGTGGTTTCGCTCGGTGTGTCAGTTCACTGAGAGGTGTTGAGCTTGGACTGCATGACCCTGCAAACACCAAGGTTTTCAACAGCCTATCCGGCTGCCGACAGGTGTTGCTCGAAGGGCCTTATACAAGCCATGCAAAGAGCGCTTCCCTTTCGATCTTCCTTGGGCTCACTATTCAAGATTCCAAAAGCTTCACCTTCTCCAAATTCCCATGGAACCAGTCTTAGGGACCTCTAGGCCACCGTTCAGCTGAGCGCATGGGGGACCGACAAAATTTTGTCGAACGAGTATGCGACCTGTCGTGAAACGAAAATGCCACGTCCCTTTTGGGAACAGAGCGAATTCGGCCGAGAGCCAATGACGACACCTCCAAGTGAACATGTAAAATGTTCACAGAGTTCACAGTAGCAAAAAGAACGCTGCGAGAAGCATTATGTGTTCAACTTCACTACCCTTGCTGCTAGTAGCAAGAGATACAACTCTTGCAAGAGCTTTGTTTCGGCCGGGCCGGGTGGTCCATGGCCTCCCAGCCTTTCCCACGCTTCGGAGGAATGCTCAGGCGAAATCGCCGAAGTAGATGTTGTGAGTCCTGAGCGAAATCAGGAAGTTGATGTGGTTAACAAGGACTCACAACTTCTTGTGGATTGCACGGAGAAGTCTGAAAACAAGTCGGTCAATACAATAAAATATGAAGGACTACATCAGTGGACAAAATCAATCATGCCGGGCATGGCCCTGTCCCTCATGAGCGCCTTTCGAACTGCCCTCTTCCACAAACTTTCGAGTGGTTTTCTTCAGAGTTGGTGTGAATTACAGCCAAAATACTCTGGGGCTTCCAGGCAGGGTGATCCAGTCGGAGTCTTTCCGTGTGTTGTAGGAGCCCGGGCCGGGCAAGACCTGGCAAGACTTCAGGCATCAAAGAACTGCTATTCATGCTTCCAAAGCATTCACAGCAGCCGCAGTAGGTTGCCCAAATTCAGACCAAGGTCAGACACTGTTTTCCTCAGAGCCTCTAGTACGAGGACTGATTCATAAAGCATCCCATATGACGAGGTCTACGATCCATGTCCGGTTATCAAAAATAGATCAAGAGTCTAGCATGAGGACCCCTGGTTTGTCTTGGATCCTTTCCTGAGATCTTTGGAGAGATGGGCCAGTCCACGGATCGGCCACTCTTCTCCAAACGCCACGTCCAAGCCTCCCCTTTCGGATCTCCAAGGCCAAATCGCTTGGCTTGCGACTCGAAGCCCAAGCCCTGGGTAGTGCTGAAGTGAAAGGAGAAACAAAGACTTCATGACTGAAGAGTATCCAAACAGCAACAGGAGAGGGGGAGCGGCTGAGCGGAGCCAAGCAATTGGGAACAAATGGATGTCCTCAATGAATTGTGTGGCATCAACACAACAAAGCAGCACACTTCAATGAGGGTGCCCAGTCCCTTGAGAACGGGCCGCGAGCTGAGAAAAGACCGGCAAAGGTATGCAAAAGGTGTGGTGATTTCTCTGCCACCAAGCAGCCCTCGGCATACCACATGCTGGAGCAGCCTCCACCTGAAAGGCTTGATAAGGGCAGTCAAAAAGAATTGCAACCCAACACAGGAATCGTGAAAAGCTAAAGAGAATGGACAAAAATACCTGCTGCTATGCTCTGTGCAAAATGCCAGGGAGACAGCATGGCGATTGAAGGTTCCCTGGATCTTGCCACCAGTGACGTCCTTTACTTTGTACCTGCAGCAAAACTGCAGGTCATAGGACCCTGAAGAGGGACCCTTACAATAAACTATAGAGCATGTTTGATGTTTTATGTAAACAGATGCTCTGTTGAAACAAAAGATGAGGACCTTTTGGGCAAAGACGAGGACCTTCTGCATGGACCAAACCGCACCCAGTGATGGACCACCCGGTGTCGACCGTGGCGCACCAGCCGGGACCAGGCCCACAGCTGGTCACCACCTCACCCTGGAGACGCTGAGAGGCCTGGACACGCTGAGAGGCAAGCTGGCTTAGCCCAAATAGAAAGGAGAACATGAAAGAACAAAGAACACAGTAGATGAAAAGATTGGATTGTATGGCCCCCCTTTTTTAAGGAGCCTTACCTTCCTTTGTTCTTACTTGTTCTGTTTACATGATCTTTCGATTACCCAAACACGACAACACACTCGTATCAGATATACATATCTATCCACATCTATTAACATCTCACTTCAGGTCTTGCTCCGAAGTTTACCTAGCGCCCAAGCTATAACTCTTAGCATAGAAATCCAAAATCTAAGGCATTGGCAGAACCAAAGCCTTCATTCTTTGGTGCCAAGCGCTGGATGGTCCCCAGGTCCTTTGCAGCTCTTGGGCTGTACCTTCGTGGCTCGTTGCTCCAAGTTCAAGTCTGCCAGGCTCTGGGCAGGGCCTCAAAGGCGACCTCCAACCTTGCCTCCCTTCCTAAGCCAATGCAGGAGCGGCTGTCCAAAGACTCTGGTGCCAAGATGGAGATCAGCAGGTCCGTAGTTGATAATCTCATAATGTTGCCGGAGAATCCATCATGAGACTACATGTCAGAATATCCATAGGAGCAAGGACGCTACTAGGGGCTCCTGGCATCGCTACTAGGAGCAAGGACGGACGCTACTAGGGGCTCCTGGCCGTGCTACTAGGAACAAGAAGCTACTAGGGGCTGGTTACTACAGTTATATACTAGGTGAAATCACCACCAGCTATACATTCAGCTCATGCAGCGGCTCACGCTCCCGGGGGTGGCCCAATCTGGCCATCCTTCTGGTACTGAGCCACCATGACATCCTGAATCAAAGAAGGGAAGATCGAACACCCCGAAGCAACGAAATGAGTGAGATGGTTTCACACGAGCTTCTCAAGTCACAGGACACGCTTCGGACCGGCGCTCCTTCGGAACGGTGGACCGGAAGAACGAGCTGGGGGGGACGACTTTGCGCGGCTTCCTGGAAGTGAAGAGCGGTCCAATGCACCAAGTGGATTTCAGCCTCTGGAGAAGTTCTCTTTTTAAGCCCGGGGTGGGGGGTGGGCCTTTAGAGGTAGGTTAGCTAGGGAGGCAGCTAGTAGGTAGCTAGTAGCTTAAGTAGCTACTACCGACAGGACGCAGGATAGCTCACGCTAATGATTTAGTTTCTAGATTCTTAGAGAAACTTAACATTCCGCCCTCCCAGCAAAACATTTCGCCATCGCCTGCTGGAGGTGGCATCTCCCTGACATCGTGCAGCGTACATAGCTAGCACAGCATTTAGCACCCCAATTTTCTCTCAGTGAAAAGCAGGCCAGAGGCAAAGAAAATGGTAAGGGCCCCTTGAATAAAGTGCTTTCAAAGAGGGCCTTGTCACAATGGCCCTTCGGTCTTTGTTGCCTCTATTTTTTGGTAATGTCTCTGAACTGCCTGACTTGCTGGTACACCTGCTGCACAAAGAGGCATTCTACACAGCAGACCGTTTGCTTTTTAACGGTTTGGACAACCATCAAAACAGCTCACATTTTGTCGCACCTGTCTCGGCAGAAGCTTCTTCACTGTGCTTCTTTGGATCCCCTCCTACACTCTCGTACCTCGACCCCTTCGTAGTAAGCACCAGGGCCAGGCTCCTGAACGCTTCGGCCCTTGAGGGCCATGGTTCAAACATACATGTACGAGCTGATAAAAAGCAATACCAGTTGCCCAATTAGACTCTTGATTGTTTAAAAAACTAAGCAAGCTGGAACCCACGAACCCGAATGCAAACACGTTCGAAAAACTACATATGTCCAAACGACACTCTTGTGGGACACTCTAATCGCACTCTCGCCTGCACCTCGCGCACTCGACACGCACGATCTCCGCAGAGGGTTGCGCGTCAAGTCTCCAAAACGAGCGTTTCGTACGAGACTTCCTCCAAAAGTCAAGCGGAAACACCCATCACGCAGCCCTGCCAAGCAGTTTCGCGATTCCAGCCCCTCCAAACAACCTCACACGCCAATCCCAATGTGACAGCACCTGCCACGAAATGTCACCTCCGTCACACCTCGCAACCTCAACGACGACAAACGACGACAAACGACGACAAACGACGAGAGACGACGAGACGACGCAAGCCATGCAAACACAGCTCCAACCCCCAGACCCCCAACTATAAACGGGAACCCTTCGCTACGCATTCGGGAACAATGATATTAAAAGGACTGTGTGGATTGAAAAGCCTCTTCCTATGGGGGGGTTTTGTTAATCAAGAGTCTACAAGAAACGAATTCATCTCCCTCTGGTCCCAGCATTCTGCTCTGCTTCCATGTCTCTCTCCTGGCCCTTTCGGGGATCGCTGACACCGCGTCTTGCCTCCATGCTGCCTCACAGGAACAAACGTTTCAAAGGAACCCGCCAATTTGGATGTCTGTGGGCTATTGATTCAGGCGTTTCAAAGGGGGGATACATCTTGTGGTCAGAAGCAGCATAGCCGCAAATAGAAGTGAATTGGCCAGCTAAACGCGACTCGTTGTGCTACGCCAACCTACAGAATTAGCCTCCAATAGAGAATAGTATGACACCTCAGATTTCAAGGGTGTCAAGGACTCGAGGACCTATGGCAGTTGCTCGCATTTGGTGGCCGCAACCATGATATGGACAAAAAAAACTAACAGGAAGCTACTGACATCATGGGCGAGCATCCACCCACGGATGGACTGGTCAACAGTTCACACCGGTTTCCAGGTTCCAGGCCGAAGGCTAAGGTCCCACTGCCGCCCAAGATGGACACCGAACCATTGCGGCCAAAGGTTTTGGCATCTCAGATCACCAGTGTGAACACTTTTTAGTAGCAAGGACGCTACTAGTAGGTCTTTGAAGCTACTAGTAACAATAAGTTTTTTAGTAGGTCTTTGAAGCTTCTTAGTAAAAAGCTGTCTAGTAACTAGAAGCTTCCTTGGGAATCATTTCACTGGGAATCGTTTCACCTGGTTTCGCACTCCATCACTTGATGCGAACACAACTCACAGCGCCTACACGGATGTCGACAAGCATTCTAGGCCAGCGGCTGTAGTAGGCGCCAGGCCCAGGCCGTATGTCTTTCTGTTTGGGCTCCTTTGAAAGCACGTTTGACAGGTGAGCAAATGAAAACCGAAAGCATTATATTTATTGTATATATATAATGTGTATGTGTATGTGTATATATATATATAAACTGACCGAAGAATCAACCACATACTAAAGAATGAAGTACTTGCGCAAGAAGCAACAACCAAAGCTTTGCACAACACTTGAATGACTGTAAGTTACAAACCTATGGCAAACAGCAAACACCAGCCGTTGCTTGGCTGCTTGTGCAATTTGGTTCTTCCGCATATCCAAACAACTTGGGGAGGAGGAGTACTCATTTTAGTGATGTATTTGATCTACAGTAATCTTTTGCCCGAGTATATCCTGAACAAGTCGTGGAGAATCAACGAAAGAATGAGTATTATGAGTATTAGATTCTTAGATGCTGATCATTGAACACTTTAAGGGTCGACCGGTCTGCTGCTTCCCGCACTGTTACAGACAGGAGTCACACCAACTCGCCTGAAAGCGCTTCCCTTTGAGCCACGCAAAGCTTTTGCCCTGAGAGCTGGTGGATGAAATCACTGTCTGTCACAGACTGGACTCAAAAGGCCAACTCAAATGAGACCATCAACTTCTTGTTACTAGTAAGGCCAGGAGCCCTAGTAATTAGCGTCCGATCGCTCCGCCCCGAACGCAGCGATCGCTTGACATCAATCCACCGGATCAACCACGATCCGCGATCGACCCGGTCTATCACCCGCTCTATCACCCGCTCTACGAAACCAGCAAGGAGAAACAGAGACACCCAGAGACACCCCGTTCGCTTCCCACTGATATTCGCACCTTGTTCTGGTGTCGTGGAACGCCGTACTGCCCAGGCCCAGGCAGCTGGCTGGCAATCACGGCCGCCTCATCCTGGCATAAGACCCGGGTTTTGACGTTTGCTGCACTGGTCGTCGGCAGACCAGGCCCGGAATCCTCAAAGATCTTCCTTGCCAAGTAGGAAAGGATGCCACCGCCCAAGCAGTTGAAATCACAGACCCACATTCTCACCGCCGGGCGACAGCAAGGTGTTTTTTCCCACCTTCGGAGTCTGATCATCTCCTTGTGTCTCCCCACACTTCGCTGATGCCGTGGCCCACGCCGTGGCGGCCGACGTGCTTTCACCCGACAAGTCGCCTCCTTGAAGCGCTCCGCGGTGCTGCCGAAGTATTGAAGCTCCGGATGCAACTCCCGCATGTTGGGCCGTCGGTTGATCCTGGCAACTGGCAACTGTCGAGGGAAAGTGATGTGACTTTGACTCAGATGCAGAGTTGGTTCATCTAGCGGGTGCAACGTCCACACAGATTTCATGGACAGACAAGTATGGTATTGTTGCTGTCGCCCTCGCCTTCGGTAGAAACTTCATCCATGGCAAAAAGGAACAAAGGAAGTCAAGTAGAAAAGGGAAGCACGGTGCCTGGGAATATATTGGCCAGGTCCGGGCATCTCAGCTGCAGCCTTGTGCTCATGCTTTGACGGCCTAGGGTGCCAGTCGTTGGCGAGATCCTTCCCAGGCCTGAAACTAGCTGCGATACTTCTCAATGATTTGATGAACCACTGAGATCAACCGAACTCTTGTCTTAGCGGAAATCTGGTCTTGCCAAAGGGAAAGCACTTCTCTGTCCAGTTGTGATTGGCAGGCAAATAAATGGTGCGGCGCTGGGAACGACACCCACGTTCTGACTGGGAGGCAAAGGCCGAGTAGACGGGCTTCTCACTCTGAGCGATGCCCTCGGCTCACAGGCTAGTAGAAGAGATAGCTATCCTACCTACAAGTAGCTACTACTTAGGAAGAAGCGGGGGAAGCTTCCTTGAACACTAGATTTTTAGGGAAGCTTAACAGGCTTGAAAGAGGTGCTTGTGCTCCACCCAGAAAACCGCTGCTTGGTTGATTGGCTCGTCGACCTGGCCTTGGTGACATAATGCCCAGGGCCCGGTGTCTCCGAGGGCTTGGTCACCGGCTCTGCAGAGGGCCTGGGCCCGAAAACACCCAGCTGCCCGACATGAGGGATTCTCGCCAAAAATGAGGAATTTAGGTGAAAAGTGATTTCATTGTTTGCATTCCACATGTCCATCTCAACGATCTGCAACAATGTCCATGTCCTTGGCATCTTCGCTCATCTCTTGGCTCCCCAGCGGCATAATCCGACCACCCAAAGCACCGTTGGCCATGACTCGACACTGGCGTGAAACACAAACAAGTACTCACTTGACCAAACACAAATGTCAGCATGATAGCATGGTGTATTGGTGATACTATCACTTTCTGCTCCTTGCATTCCATCCACTTTCTGTCAAAGGTGTCTGGAACGCGAAGCGCAAACTCCAAAATGGGACAACAGACCTGACTCTGACTGAGGAGCTTCAAGAGCCGTGAATATTTTAGCTTGAGATGCTCCCCTGGTGAGGAGCCACACAAACCAAAACTATCGGCTCTTGGGAAGGGCATCTGAGCTGATTTTGGTGATTTATATACTGTAGATCTGATGTCAATCCTCACGCATCTAATCGAAGCCAAGTGTACACAATTTTTGCGTGGCAGAAACCATGAAAGGGCAAAAGCACTAGCATGGCGACAAAGCCCAATAAATCCATGACTATAGAAATAGGTCTGCAGCACTGGCAGCGCCAGAGAGAAATCAAGGTGGGGACACCATCATGATTCACTGTTGCTGAAACTTGGGCTGTTGCTCCGCAGAAGTTTCTTGTCGCCCGTCGTCCCCCCGCAAAGGCTCCAAACCGCTGCACTGCCCGCACCGCCCGCGCCGCCCGGGCACCTTGTGCGAGTCATACTGGCCAGGCCCAGCGCTGTCTCCAGGCTTCCCTGACATCAATCATCCAGAAAATCGCTCCGTTACAAGGCTTGTAACTCCTGGGATTCAAGCTTGTCACATACAACATCATGCAACCCATGTCAGTGTCAGAGCTTTGCCTGAGAGTAGCATTGGGACCATATTGGTGGCTATGCCCCTCTGCAAACTGATATTTCTCTCCAGCTCCAAGCTTTTCTGCACGCGCAACGCAAGTTCTCCCAGTCGCTTGGTGGATGCTTCATACGTTTGCCTCATCTGAATGCTACGGCAGCGACAGGTCGGCATCTCATTCAAATCCGATCTCGTAGCCATGGATCCAGGTGATTCTGCTCCATGCTTAGGGTTGCACGTGTTCACACGCGTGTCCTCCTCGCTGATCGGATGGGCCGTGTTCTCGGTACTGCGGCCCTGTTCTTGCATGGAGTACATATCATCCAGAGCTATTATCTATATTGACCCGCCGGCATTCACAAAGCTAAGGCAAGCAGCAGCTCAGCAATTTTGGTGTCATCTCACCTTTTGGCTGTCTTGGACCCTCAAGTGGCAACTCCAGATTGTATTAGCGACGGTTCAATTGGCCTTCTGATTCTATGCCTTGTAGTCTTGAGGAAAGCTCTGGTAGAGTAAAACAAGCTCCTCATTCTTCACAACCACTTCAAATCCAGGCTCCTCATAGGGTCCACTGATGAACAACAAAAGGTCTGGAGTCTAGAATGCTTGCAGCAGCACAAACCTGCACCTGTGTTGGGGCTGCAATAGAGCTTGCTTCTTGCGTGGAAAACACATGGCTATCTGCCCTGGGCATTTTTTACGTCTTTGTGCTATGCTTTTACATCGCTATCTGCTTCTCTTACATTTCCTTCCACTTGCTTCCTCCTTGCTCGGGTCGCCCAGGGCCTCCAGCGCACCCAGCGCTGCCAGCACGCGGCTCAGAGGAGCATCACCCCCCAAGTCCACAAAGTAAGCGCCCACCGCACCCATGGAGGTGCCCAAATGATGCAAATGTTGGGAGAGCATGTCCTTAGAAAAAAAAAAAAAAAGTGCAGACATGCGCGCACTTGACGTGCAAGTAAGACTTCTTTTCAAGAGCCTGAACAGGTTGAAAGGATTATATGGTGGGTCAAAACTGGGACACGCAGGTTGACCACCGAAAATGAACAGAATAGATTACCAGCCAGGTCAACCTACAGGGTGAACTGAGCTCCAGGTTATGACCCACAGCCAAATATATATGTAAGGCATAGCGTCTCCAAGAGATCCCTGTGAGACATCGAAAACATGGAAATGACATCCCTGCGGAAATCGCTGCGAAGCAATCTGTACTGCGTGAAGACTTCGGTCAAGTCCAAGCACTTTGGTGCCGTTCTCAGCAAGGATGCCACTCGTGATGCCTACAAAAGATATTGTTTGAATCAGTGCACCTTACCGTCAAAGTGATGAAATGAATGGATGCATGTGTTCTACCACTTGGGTGCGGAATAAGCAATCTAAAGCCGCTCAGACTTCCTAAGCTAGATGGCCGCCAACCTAGAAGCGATGGCCTCCAACTTACAAGCGATGACCTCCAACCTAGTAGCGATGGCCTCCAACCTAGAAGCGATGGCCTCC